AAAAAAAAAAAAGATGCAGGCAAAAGGCAAAAGGGTGGCACAGAATAGGCGCTGCACACTTGTTCGTAAGTACTTGGTAGAAGCACATAGTAGGTGCTTAATATTTACTGTAAAGTTTAATAATGTACTCAAAACTTGGTGAAAATAAAGCACCTGTCAACAATGCTTAGCAGTTATAATTATTGCTATATTCTATCAGTGTTCTATACTAATTGACATAAATCTTACAAATACGCCAAGTTGGCCGGGCACAGTGGCTCATGCCTGTAATCCCAGCACTTTGAGAGGCTGAGGCTGGGGGATCAAGAGGTCAGGAGATCGAGACCATCCTAGTCAACATAGTGAAACCCCATCCCTACTAAAAACACCAAAAAAAATTTAGCTGGGCATGGCGGTGCATGCCTGTAATCCCAGCTACTTGGGAGGCTGAGTCAGGAGAATTGCTTGAACCAGGGAGTCAGAGGTTGCAGTGAGCCGAGATTGTGCCATTGCACTCCAGCCTGGCAACAGAGTGAGACTACATCTGAAAAAAAAAATATGCCGAGTTGGCCAGGTGCTGTGGCTCACACCTGTAATCCCAGCAATTTGGGAGGCAGAAGCAGGAGGATTGCTTGAGCCCAGGAGTTCAAGACCAACCAGGGCAAGATGGCAAAGCACTCATCTATCTATCATCTATCTATCTATCTATCTATCTATCTATCTATCTATCTATCTATCTATCTATCATCTATCTAATCTATCTATCTATCTATCTGGAATAATATTCAAACTCCTAACCATTCCTTAAGGCATTGTATGAGCTCACATTTGCCCTCTCTCAATCACCAAATCTCCTCTCTCAATCACCAAACTGCAGCCTCATTGACCTCCTTTCTGTTCTTCCAGCATACCTTGTCTATCTAATCAATAGCAACATGAGACATTAGGTCAAATGTGTTCCTGAAATCAAGGTAGGCTATTTTTTTTTTTTTTTTTTTTTGAGACAGAGTCTTGCTCTGTCACCTAGGCTGGAAATGCAATGGCATGAGCTCAGCTCACTGCAACCTCTGCCCCCAGGTTCAAGTGATTCTCCTGCCTCAGTCTCCCAAGTAACTGGTATTACAGGTGCCCGCCACCACACCCAGCTAAGTTTTTGTATTTTTAGTAGAGATAGGGTTTCACCATGTTGGCCAGGCTGGTCTTGAACTCCTGACCTCAGGTGATCCACCTCCTTTGGCCTCCCAAAGTGCTGGATTACAGGCGGAAGTCACCATGCCCAGCCCCTAGTCGAATTACAATAAATGTTTACACATTATACACTTGTTTAACCATCTGCAATAATAAAATTCATCCTATTTAAAACTTCTTTAAATTCTACATATTACACACACACATTCTCAAATCTATGTGAAAACAACTATAGGATATTAACTACAGTAATTTTCTTAAATAGCATTTTTTTTAAAGAACATATTTTTTCCAATACCATTTACATTTAATTTGTAATTTTTTTTATTTAGAAATATCGCAACATTCATGAGAAAAAACAGTCATAACCACTTTCTCCTTTACCATCCACACTTTGCTTTTTTTTTTTTCTTGGAGAGGGAGTCTTGCTCTTGTTGCCCAGGCTGGAGTACAATGGCAAGATCTTGGCTCATCACAACCTCTGCCTTCCAGGTTCAAGTGATTCTCCTGCCTCAGCCTCCGGAGTAGCTGGGATTACAGGCACCCGCCACCACGCCCAGCTAATTTTTTTGTATTTTTAGTAGAGACGAGGTTTCACTATGTTGGTCAGGCTGGTCTCGAACTCCTGACCTCAGGCGATCCACTTGCCTCGGCCTCCCAAGGTGCTGGGATTACAGGTGTGAGCCACCACACCTGGCCTGTTGTTGGCTTTTTAATTGGGTTCTTAGTTGATGGCTAGACAAGTTTAGCTATGATTTTTTTGCTGTTGTTGGAGAAGGAGTCTCACTCTGTTGCTCAGGCTGGAGTGCAATGGCATGATCTTGGCTCACTGCAACCTCCACCTCATGGGTTCAAGTGATTTGCCTGCCTCAGCCTCCCAAGTAGCTGGGATTACAGGTGCACACCACCACGCCCAGCTAATTTTGTATTTTTAATAGAGATGGCGTTTCACCATGTTAGCCAGGCTGGTCTTAAACTCCTGACCTCAGGAGATCCACCTGCCTTGGCCTCCGAAAATGCTGGGATTACAGGCATGAGTCGCCACGCCCGGCCTAGCTATGGTTTTTAGTCTTGTTATATTTCTTTCTTAGTCAGATATTGTGAGACAATATATTTGCACACAGTCAGGGTGGGTGCAAGAATTGAGTAAATCAACAGACATGAAAGCCCTTTGAAAGGTGAAAGGGCATGCTCGCTTAGGCAGCACATATACTAAAATTGGAATGAAAAAGTGAAAGGGCTATGCTTGTGTAAGGGGTTACTATTATTATTTTCTTTTTTTGAGACAGAGTCTCACTCTGTCACTCAGGCTGGAGTACAGTGGCATGATCTCAGTTTGTTGCAACCTCTGCCTCCAGGGTTCAAGCAATTCTCCTGCCTCAGCCTCCCAAGTAGCTGGAATTAAATGCATACACTTAATTACGTTCTCTAACACCATGCCCAGCTAACTTTTGCATTTTTAGTAGAGATGGGTTTTCACCATGTTGCCCAGGCTGGTCTCAAACTCCTAACCTCAAGTGATCCACCACCCTTGGCCTCCCAAAGTACTGGGATTACAGGCATGAGCCACCATGCCCAGCCTGAAAATATTAATAAGTGTTCTTAAATATGGCACTAGAACTACAGAAGATTCACAATTAAAACATAAAATAAGTAATTTTCAGCAGTGAATGACAAATTGAAAAGGCATTAAAGAGCTATTAAAATAAACAATACCTGCCAGCGTGGTGGCTCATGCCTATGGGAGTGGCTCAGCACTTTGGGAGGCTGAGGCAGGAGGATCACCTGTGGTCAGGAGTTCAAGACCAGCCTGGCTAACATGGTGAAACCCCATCTCGACTAAAAATACAAAACTTAGCTGGGTGTGGTGGCAGGCACCTGTAATCCCAGCTACTTGGGAGGCTGAGGCAGGAGAATTGCTTGAACCTGGAAGGTAGAGGTTGCAGTTAAGCAGAAATAGAGCCATTGCACTCCAGCCTGGGTGACACGGAGAGACTCCATCTTGAAAAAAAAAAAAAAAAGACCAGGAATGGTGGCTCATGCCTGTAATCCCAGAACTTTGGGAGGCTGAGGCGGGCAGATCATGAGGTCAGGAGTTGGAGAACAACCTGGCCAACGTGGTAATACTATTAAAAATACAAAAATTAGCTAGGTGTGGTGGCAGGCACCTGTAATCCCAGCTACTCAGGAGGCTGAGGCAGGAGTATTGTTTGATCCCAGGAGGCGGAGATTGCAGTGAGCCAAGATCTCACCATGGCTGGCACTCTAGCCTGTGCCATCTGGGGGGGTGGAGGGGGAACTACCCTGGATGTATACTTAGATACAATGAGTCAGAGATTAGTGCCGTATTTTATTATTTATTTAATAATTATGCTTACTCAATTCACTATATTGCAATGAACAATAAATGGGTGTCCAGTTATAAGAAGAAGTTCTCCAGATTATGTAAACAGATTTAGACCTCAGAATGGAACATTTTGCCAATAAAACCACAATAACCAGTTAGATTATTCTTGGGAAAAGTACATGTAATTTGGAGAAAGACAAACTTCCTGAAAACATCCAAAACACAGCAGACAACAAAAATCTGGTTAATTTGTTCCTGATTTGTTAGTACTATCTCTCTCTCTCTTTTTTTTTTTTTTTTTTTTGAGATGGAGTTTCGCTCTAGTTGCGCTGGCTGGAGTCCAATGGCAGAGTCTTGGCTCACTGCAACCTCCACCTCCCAGGTTCAAGTGATTCTCCTGCCTCAGCCTTACATGTAGCTGGGACTGCAGACATGTGCCGCCACATCCGGCTAATTTTTTCTGTATTTTTAGTAGAGACAGGGTTTCACTATGTTAGCCAGGCTGGTCTCGAATCCCTGATATTAGGTGATTTGTGTCCTTCGGCCTCCCAAAGTGCTGAAATTACAGGCATGAGCCACCATGCCTGGCCTATATAGCTTATTTCATACACCAAGTAAAATTTAAATTATACAAAACAAATTATAGAAATACTATAACAACATAACTATTTACATTGATCAACTTGCCTACACCTCAACAGAAACATAGAAATGATTGTTTAAGCATAAGCTTTGATTTGATACATATTCTTGTAGAAATTAATCAAACAGCTGAATCTTAAAATTGCTCTTTTACCTTTA